GTACATATATATATGTATGTATATATATGTATATATATGTATATGTATATATGTATATATATGTATATGTATATATGTATATATATATATATATATGTATATGTATATATATATATATATATATCCAACTGTTGAAACAGAATTTTGCTTTTCCAACTAAAATTCACAACTGTTTTGTTTTTACTTTGTCAGATCCAGTTTGCTGCCTAATTGGACTAATGTCTTGTATGCAGAGAGATGATCCAGCATAGACCATACGATCACAAAGTTGATGTTTACAGTTTTGGCATTGTGTTGTGGGAGCTTATAACTGGTATGCTTCCCTTCCAGAACATGACAGCTGTGCAGGCAGCATTTGCTGTCGTTAACAAGGGTGTCCGACCGATCATACCGCATGATTGCCTTCCGGTGCTTGGCGAGATAATGACCCGCTGCTGGGACGCAAACCCTGATGTGCGTCCTCCCTTCACAGAGGTTGTTAGAATGCTGGAGACTGCAGAGATGGAGATCGTAAGCACTGTCCGAAAGGCTCGATTTAGATGTTGCATGTCCGAACCGATGACCACAGACTGAAATTGGAAACAGGTTCATGAAAGTTACTAGAGATAGAATGAAGGCAGCCAATCAACGGACTGGTTAAAGTAGAAAAATTTGTTCTGTATGTGGATTTTATTTGCCCGGCCTTTGCAGAAATATTTACGATTAAGATAAATCTGTTTTTTTGTTGGCAGCTCTGCCTGTGTTTAGTTCATGGCTTCTCTGTGAAATGAAGGTGTTTCACTCTTATGGTCACTCTGTTTTTTCCTCTAAACTTCTACAAGATGTGTTACACTGAGTTGATATCTAACACAGCATAATCTCAGCAGGCCTGTTGGATGTTTGAGACTGAACTTCATTTATTTGGTGTTTGGATAGCATAGACTAGGATTAACCTATCCAGAGAACACCAAAAAGTTCATAGCAGGAGTTACTGAAATTTTATCAAATCTTTTCTTTTTTTGTTTTTTCAGAATTAGAGGCTTCAGATTCACTGAAACTTTTTATTTCATTCTCTGATGTGCCTCCACGATGAGCTGCTGAAAATTATTATATACGATTCTGTTGCAGATGGATGGATGGATTATATGTATTGCCATCAGTCCAGTTGCATTATCATCTTTACTAAGATCAATAATACGATGTCCTTGCGATATCCATTCCATTTTGCAAGTATTCCTTTTTTTTTTCGTTCTATTTATATTCATACAATGATGACAAATGTTTTTAATTTTGATATTCAATTTCGGATACTACACCCACGCCAATCCATGATGCACCATTCAATTTTAGATATCATATCCACATCAATCCATGAGGAAGTGATATAGGTATTGATAAGGCAAGGTGCGAGGAAGAAGTAGAAGAAAGAAGATCCGATAAGAAAAAGAAAGAAAAAAAAAGAAGAGACGATAAAGGAAAAGGACAAGGAGATTTATTGGTATCGGAATGTATCGTAACGAGGAGGATGCGTTAGCAATGATAAGTGAGTCACAAGTCCTAATACATCATATGATAGGATATTTAAAAGAAATAATAATAATAAATAACAAATCGGATTTGATCATCTAGCTTTGAGTGTAGATCGGCACCGCAATGGTTGATCGAATCGATAAATACCACACTGTATTACTTGGGAGAAACATGCTTTGTATGTGCTTTACACCAAAAACATATAGAGACAGAGTACCTTTCTAATACCCGTCATGAGACCCACTTTTCATAGAATAAGAATTCAAAACCTCATCCAATAAGTTTACATTTAAAATATTATATTGATATGTTGATGGTATACTAAATCCTACCCAAGATGAATCCAATAGATCTTAATGATATTAACTAATTTACCTTGTACGACTTTGACAATTAATAGGACTAGCCTTGGGATCCTTACTCTTTGCAACAAAACATGCATAAATTCCCAAAAAATAATATTTTAAACCGTTTGATGATAAGTTTAGAGATGACAGTTTATGAGTTGAAACTTCTGAGCAATGGATTCCACAAATATAGAGATTATTCTTAATGATGTGAAAGAAGTCTATTTAAGTCGCTGCTTCTGCCATACTACAACCAGAAAACACAGATTGACTACTGCTAATTCTTGAGCCTTTGTTAGATAATTGCAGTTCTCTACATTGAATTTTAAATATACAAAATGTGAATGGGAGAATTACAAGTTCTGATGATTGGTTGTGAGGAAAAGAATGTGCAGCGACATCGGGGGATCTAAAATAACTTACGAAATTATATATTGCCGCAAATTCTTTGTTCTCTTCTTGCTCTTCAGTTTTCTAAAAGCACAGGACTCTATCTGCCGAATCCTCTCCCTGCTCACTCCCATCAACTCTCCAATCTCTTGTAGCGTCTTCATCCTTCCATCATCAAGCCCAAATCTCCATCTCACGACCTGCTTCTCCCTCAGATTTAAGGTATCCAGCACCTTGTTCAGATCCTCCCTCATGAATTGCTTCATGAGTATGTCTTCTGATGTCTTGGCAGCAGGATCAGCAATGACTTCCTGTGGAAAACTACACCCGTTAAACTCAAAAGTACATGAGACTAAAAACTAGATTGGTTGATGATAAAAAGATGTATATAAAAATCCTAGAATAGGATGTGACAAACTGAAGCTTTCAGGCTCTGATTGATTCCGATCTTCTGATCCAGAGATCTTGGAGCTTTAGGGGTCAGCATCACAGCAGCAAGCCTCTTCATTGATAACCCAGCTGCTTCTGCAACTTCTTCATTGTCAGGATGCCTTCCGTTCTCACTGTACAGTTTCTTTTTGGCCTCTCTGACTCGGTAAGTTGCCTCAACCATATGAAACTGTGGAACCCACAATATAGAGATACTTATTTTTCACATTTGGATATCCAGAAACAAGTACAAGCAGAACCCTAATGTTTCTCCGGTGAATGAGATTTAGAAATTAATGCCTTAACATTTAGCTTAGAGACTGACCTTTAGATTACATAACTTTTCTCATTGTTCACTTAGTTTTCAAGGTTAAGAACGTCTATTCCATAATGAAGAATGTTGATCTTCAATTCATGTAGGAATTACACCTAAACAAGGCACTGAAAGAAATGGAAGGAGAACACTATTCTCTAACCACTTTCTCAAGAGCCGAAGTACAGAAAACTACAGCACAATAAACAACATAGTGATATCATGCATGCCTCTGCATTCTGAATTTTAGCATGTTATGGGAGCTAAATTCTTATAATATACAAGAACTAATTATATATATATATATATATATATATATTGTGTGTGTGTGCGTGTCCATTATTTATAGCACTCACAGTATAACTATGTTTGTCTTCTCTAATGCATTTGGTTTCTGTCCTATTCCTAAAGAAATGCATGATACCAATTGAAAAATCCACATAAAAATATTGAATGGAAACTTACAGGCAATCTAATAGTCCTGGATTGTTCTGAAAGAGACTTACGAACAGCCTGTTTGATCCACCAATGTGCATATGTTGAAAACTTAAAGCCTTTAGAAGCATCAAATTTTTCAGCACCCTTTACCAGGCCTCTGCATCCTTCCTGCAGGAAAAATTCAAAATTCAACATCCTGAAACTAGACACTGCACCAAGAAGACTACAATGAAAAATCAATCCCCATGCATCTAATATAAGGAAGCACCTGAACAAGATCCTGAAGGTTGATTCCTGCACCCTGATAGTTTTTTGCTATTGATATAACTAGTCGTATGTTACTTTTAATCATTTTATCCTTGCAATATGTGCCATGGTTTATGCGCTTCCTCAGAGTCTTCTGATCAATTCCAGCAGCTGCAGCCCATTGGGCAAAGGTTGGTTGACAACCATTTCGCTCTGCAAGGTCCTGTTGTAGCCTTTCTAGCTTTAGTAGACTCTGATGACATTCAGTAAGAAGAAAAAGTTAGACGTAGATGAAAGTCTGGATAAAGACTTTAGCATCATGGTTGAATTTGCACCTAGAGCTTTTTGTGGTTATCTTTTAGATGCTGAGGGAATCATTTTGCAAGAAAGCAACATATCATGTGGCCAATATGTTTTATCAAAGTTGACCGAAGTTAAAAAGAACCACTCAGTTTTGCCCTTTTACAGTTCAAATAGTAAAAACAAGCCACAGGGAATACCACTCTGATTTTGCAGATGCAGACAATCAGTGGAAAACCTGCAAGCTTCATTGTAATGTAATAAATATACTTTTTTTTGTCTTCATGTTTTGTAATTATATCTACAACCACACGTACTCCATAGAAATAAAACCTTTCTACAAGTCGTAATAATACAAACAGACAAACCAAGGAAGAAAGTTGTCTAAGCCATTCACAGACATCTGTAGCAATAAACAGCTTGAAACTTCAAGTGCATTAGTTCGTACCTGAATTCCCTCTGACAATTCTATTTCTTCGGCTGCTGTGAGAAGCTTTGATGTACTTGTTGTTCCCCTCAAGTAACGCAAGGGATCTGAATAGTCAATCTCCTGAAAAGCAGAACGCTTTTTCTTTCCAGAGGAACCAGACTTTAAAGAAATAACACCAGCAGTAGCCTTGTCTGCTGCTCTTGCTCTTCTAGCTCTTCTCTCAATTTGGCGCCCAGATCTCACAGCGATGTTTTCAATATGTTGCATCCCTTGGAATTCAGGTTCATCAAATGTTGAACTGGATATATCTGTACTTGCATATTGATCTAGGGAAACATTATATTCAAACGGTATAGTTTCTGTTGCAGCAGGATGGTTGGTAAAGCCAGCCCATTCTGTTTCAGTAAGGCTAACCCTCTCAAGCCACTTGATGTCAGCTTCTGATGGAGTCTCTTCCAGCTTCTCAACTTCTGCTGACAGGTTCTTCCCTATCATCTGAGCTGCATCTTTTGCAAGTTCAAGCGCTGCTCTAGCAAGAGCAACTGCTTCAGCAGCAGCAGCTGCTATTACTGCCTCATCACATTGAAGAAGTGTTTCCGAAGCCAAGGTTGCTTCAATGCTAGTCTGAGAACACAATACAGAAGAGATGTTCCTAACTGAGCTACGGAAAATTGATCTGGATTTGCCTAGTAAAGTTAACAAGCAGTAAAATTATGAGCTTTTCTTTTATCAGATTTATGTTAAAAAAGCACCACTAAGTTAAATTCTGCACAGGAATTAAGCAAAAATGAAGTACCAAGGATGCACGAGTGCAGCCCAATGGAAATCAACTAATGTGGTTTCAGATTTGGGTTTGGACCTCTAAACTCTACATAAGAGCACAATTCAATAACAGAGGCTTCATGTTTTGATGTTAGAAAAACTAAATCTCTAACATTTCATATTCTCAAGTGAGATTGGCAATTTTGAGTGGCTCGAATATGGTAGGAAATCATTACAAATTTTCTGTTTCACCAAAAAATTTTAACCTTTACAGTGTCGCTTAACTAAATATTCACCTGGGAATATTTCCAGTACCTCTGGTTAAAACATTAAAAATGTGTCAAAAACTCTTGAGACAGGTCCGAGAATACTAACATACACAAATGGATCTTTTTCAAATCTTATGACTTGAAAAATCATTTTCTATAATTTCTGGAATGTATCACGAATCAACCACTGACCTTGATGGGTGGACCAACAGATCCAGAATATGTTAATGGTCTAATGGCACAGGTGGATGAAGAGGTTGAATGAGCTTCCAACTTAGGTATCTGCTCAAAATCAATTACAGCAGTTGTAGGGGATAAAACACACCGACTGCGGAAACAAACAAATTCTCTGGCCCTTGCTGCAATCAAAATTTTTTTAAAAAAAATTAGCTGCTGTAAACTAGATCAAATAAGATAAACAACTCAAGACAGTGTACATTAACATTCAAAAAGCTCGACGGAATAGCCGTGTAGATATAGGAGAGCATATAGCATTCCAGAATCACTGACCTTACTAGTTTATGTTTCTTGTGATTAAAGCTGATTAGGTCCTCGGGACCCAAAAAGGCATTCTCCATCATGTGAAGTTGGATAAATCTAACCTGACCTTGACGTGATAAAAAAAATCCTATTTTTAATCACATCACTTCTTGCGCAACATGTCAAAGGAACAGGATTGAATCTTCTTAGTATCATGTTTAACCTTACAAATGAGCAAGTACAATGACTCTATAGAAGAACATTTCAAGAGATCTTAAGTCCAGTCAAGGAGTACATGATGAACTTTTCTCATATCAACATATCAATCTTATGATAGAAGATGAAGCACAAACTCAATGGATGGCAGCAAAAGATCCATGTTGTCAACCTAAATAGTTGGGACATTATGGTTTGTGGTTATTGCTGTTGAAGCGCAAATTCACCAAAGAGTAATTCTTTAAGTATGGTGTTTCATGACGAGAGGCGACATTTGGAGTCACAATGAGGTTTCTTCTTTACCATCTAAGTTACCAGATAGGAGTCCTGGAAACAACCTCTTTACTTGCAAAATTAAGGTTGCACTTTGTATGACTCATCCTAGATGCTGTATTGGCAAGACCTCATTGTTCAAACTTAACTAAATCATGCTTGTGTTTGAACTAGCGTTTCCAATCTACCTTTTCAAAAGGCTTAAATATCATGCTTTTCAAACTATATTACTCCCAAATTCTGCATCATGTATGAAAAAACAATGTTGCTTTTGCAACTCACTAAATCACAAATGCTAACATAAAATTCCCAATTTAACGAATCAATTTACATCTGAAAGATACATTAGCTACACTAAACCATGAGTGAACTGTGAGTTTCTAATGTATTCTTTAGATATATCCCATTCTCTTTTATCCTTAGACTTCATCGATGATCGAAACCTTGATAGCTATTAAGCGCATTCAGTCTGTCAGATCGAACTACCACCACTTCAGCAACAGACACTGAGCGCAGTACACGAGTCAAATTCAAACGCAATGTTAGCTACTAATAAATCTTATATGAGATCATCAGCAATAAGCCTCCATCCATAGCAATTAACCGAGAAAATGCCGCCCCCATTAAGCCACTTAGATAAGGAAACACAACAGAGCACGACTCATCTATTGGCATTGGAAAACCGAACTCATCGTTAACAAATGACTCTAAACAGAGCTCGAACTCGAATTCGCTCCCTCGATCAGTTTAACAGGGCACTCCGGGACGAATCTACCAGAGGCCAAAGAAGAAGCAGATCAAAGATCAGAGTCTGCTTACGGTGGAGGGAGGGGAGGGAGGGCCTGGCGAGGGAGTCGGAGGAAGGGGGCTTGAACTGCGGCACCAAGCACGCCATCCAAGCCGTCCTCCGGGGGAGTTCGGGGCTACGCTGCAGGCAGACGAAGAAGAGCACCGTGGTCGAGCCTCCTCCGACGCCGCCTCTTAGGTGAGAGAACGCACGCGAGAAAGATTAGATACAGAGCGATGGCGTCAGGATAAGACACGAACCGGCCCGGCTCGACCGGTCGGGTCGGTGTTTCAAAATTGAGCCGAGCCGTGGGTGGTTTGATTGGAAATTTTGTGAGACCTGATCAATTTTTTGATGATCGGAACATTAGTTTGATTCGGTGTATTGTGATCTTTGCAGATGGAAGTGTGTTGATCATTTAGCATGTCGAATCAGCAGTTGCCATTGATTTGATGGTCTCCGATTTCGGATTCATTAATTAGACCGTTTGAATCTTACAAATATTTCCCAACTTTTTATGTATCATCAAAATATTTACATTTTTTTTTTCAACGATGCTTAAGTTTTTTTAAGTGAAATTTATTATCACGTCTCCTTTTTACTATTGATAATTCTTTAAAAATAATAAAAATATTATTTTACTATTTACATATATTATCTATTTTAACCATATTTACAACTTCTTGAATTACCTATTTTAAAATAATATATTATTTATAACCCTTGTATTACCTATTTTAATCTCTTTTTCTCTTCTCGACAACCTCATGCTCCCAGTTGATGCTAATCATCCTTTACCTTCTCGAAAGGAAAAAGAAAAAGAGAAGGATATTTTCGTTCTATTCATATATTTTATATCTTAATCTAATATATTATTACATTTATTTGAGAAATTATTAAATATATAGTCAAACCTGTTGAATGGTTCGGCCAATAACCCAATGACATGAATCAATTGGCTCTCATAAGATAATTATTTTTGATCTCAGATCTTCAGTCATACCATATTGGACTACTCAGCCATATCTGAGCATGGGGAGAACAACAAGAACAGAAATGAAGAGACTCACCCGAGAGAGGCTGAGACTTGTCTCTGTAGCTGCTCAGGTATCTGAAACTTACAGGTTTGAGTTATAATGAACACAATAAAACGATGTCACCTTTGGCAGTAGATAATTGTCTGAACTGATAAAGAATCATGTTGTGACCAATCCAATGACTGAAAACCAAATGCTCAGAAAAATCTTATAAATCAAATGTAATTTCCACATAAAAAATCATCATGCACTGGATGAGAATGGAAGATGACCTTTGGATACCAGATAAAGAATCAAATTTCATCAAATTCTAATGACAGAACTGTAAAATTTCAGAAGGTTTTTCTAAAAAAGATCTCTCAATCTGATCCAATGCACCATAGAATTATGCTGAAGTTTCAAACCGGAAACATAGAAAATGAGCTTATATTGGTGATGAGCCTTAATTAAAACATCTCCGTGACTACGAATACACAGACTAGGGAATTGATTTAACCAAAATACATCATGCTTCAGATACAGGATAAATGAATTGGAAAAGTAATAATGTAACCAAGGGATTACTACAATGATCACTTTCATCTGTAAGAACCACAGAAAGGTGACTAGTTCCAAAATGGTGGTAGATATGTTTCATGAGTACTAATATTCCAAGAGACAGTAGAAACACACAACAATCCACAAAGAAGTAGTTGCACTTTTCAGCCATGTAAAAGCATCCCAACTATCAAGACAAAAACAGAAAGGGGAATCTACTAAGATGCACATAGCCACTGTACTGTGAGCAGAGAGATGGTATACATGAGAACATAAGATGGCTATTCATGTGACCAGAGCTATATTTACACCGTACAAAAGAGGATAGTTGAAGTCCAACCTTGACGAGTGGAGCTCAGGATTTCAAGGAAGCAAGAAAAAATTCAACTGTCCCAAGAAAGCAACAAAGACTTCCATCAATCTTTGAGGCCTGTAATGTAACCTCATCATTAGAACAGCTCTACATCACCTAGAATCAACTAATGCTTAAAAAAAAGATCATGTGTATCAGATAAAACTAACCAAATTCATTTTATTTTAAGACAAGTTTAACAACATGCTCGATGTCAGAATACAAAATCAACTTATACATATGGGAACACAAAGCCCATTTTATGATCTTAAACCTCAACCCACAACATACTCACACCGGCATACACACAATAAATAAAAGAAAGAAGAATACAGGCTATGCTTCGGCATCCATATCATGGCCATTGAATTATTATTAAACCATTGTACTATCCCATAGATTTAAGGGATATATGGAAGTTCAGATTTTTTGTACCACATTAAGTCCTAATAAAGCCAAAATAAGAAGAAACAAAAAAAGTGTGTCAACGATTAGCGCATTATTCTTCGATCACACTTCCCATGCTTCCTGATGTTAGCATATAACAGAACAAGGTTCTTAATCCTCCTTGGTCAACACTTGCCTCCATTATGCCAGAGTAAACACAACAAAATGCAAAGAAAGAAGCAATACACTGTAGACTGTCTTCTTACCAGTGTATGATGCTGTCACCTTAAAAGACAAGATGATATGCTGATTTACATAATCGGAGGACCTTTTAACCCAAAAAAAAAGTTTAAAGAAAGTTGCTAGGCCACTTTTATAGGACATATGAACTTTCTTTAAGCTAACCAACAAAAAAGTATATGAAAAAAAAACAAAAAGGAACCCAAACATTGAAATGCAGGCAGAACTTAAGCTACTAACAGTATTTCTGTGCACCTATGTACATATATGCTCCATCCCGATAATACACAGCTCACCTTCTACAGCATTATGAATGGCAACAGATAATACTATAGCTAAAAGCCTAAAACTATGCTGATGAAACAACAAAAAGACATTTATATCATGGTTCATCTTACACTGTATCATCTGATGTCATTCTCTGCCAGTAGTTTTGTTGATGTTAGCTTCTTCAAGTTCTTACCAGAGGCATCTTTATTAGGAGTGATCTTCACAACCTTTTTGGTTTGCTTTTTCTGTGAAGTAATAAAACTCTGCAGAGTTTGCTGCCCTCTCTTTTGCTTTGCAGACACTATCTCATTTATAGCCTTCTGGAGAGCATCCTTTGCAACTGCATAAAATTCTGTAGATGTTGCTCCCTCTCTTGCACATCGTATGGCATCACGGCAGAGATCATTATATCGTGCTATTGAAGGGTCCTCAGCATTACCTCTGAGCTCAACACCGTAATCATCCAAGACAAAGCCACTCTTAGCATGTTTTGTCCACCGTTTCAATATGTAATTATTAGGAAGAGCACGAACACCATTGATTATAAAGACTCTTAGCGCATGTCGACACAAAATGCCAGAAAACTCGAACATGAAACAACTGCAGTGTGCTTTATTCTCAGTGGAATTAAAATCAACACTGTATATTTCATCATCAATTTCATTTCTCATCACTCTATATTTACTAATAGGTCCATCCTCTATTTTATCCACATGATAACCCAAAGATTCAACAAATTCCTCTTGAAACCTGTCAAAAATTGATCTTGTGTAGATACCAGCTGCCTGTTTTTCCATTGGTGATGCAGTCCTCAAAAATGGCTTTTCAAACAATGTCACAAACTCAGCTTGTGCTTCTTTTTCATACCGGTTTGCGAGCGTCTGAGATAGTTGCCTAACAGCCATCCGTAAGGGGGTTTTTGTTGTGAAATATTTTTCAATAACTTTGTCAAAGTTTTCACAACTTTGTGATCCAGGGACTTCTGCAAGGAATGTTTGCTTTACAAAGACTGGAACCCATTGATGACGGATATTGTACAGTGATTGCATATAAACACTCTCCTTCAGACAATACCTATTTATCATTGCATCCCAGCATGATTCAAATGATTCAATCGTTTCAGACTCATCAACGCATGCTTTCAATTCTCCTTGAAAAGGGATGTGTTCTGAAAATAAATCAGGCAATTCCTCCTGTATGGTACTTAAGATCTGTGCCTTGCAAAAACAATGACGTGTTTGTGATAATGTCTTAGCAACAACTGATGTAATTGTCCTGTTTAGTTCAGTAATCAATGAGACAGGATGCAGTGCAGGCATTGCTACAAGCCAATTCTCAAAAAGCCAAGTAAATGATGCTTCTGTCTCATCTACCATCAGAGCACATCCAAAAACTACTGGTTGTTGATGATGGTTTACACCTGTGAACATAACAATAGGCATCAGCTCCTTGTCATTTATGTATTTTGTGTCAAATCTAACAACATCACCAAAGTAGTAGTAAGCCATTCGAGCTTTAGAATCAGCCCAAAAGATGTTGGTCATGCAATTATTATTTTCAATCTGTACAGCATAATAAAAGAAAGGGTTATCTGCTTGTGTTTTCTTGAAGTATTCAAGCAGATTTTGAGCATCATCTGGTCCTAAATCATTATACCGAATCTCCCTTGGATGCTGTGTGTCTTGGCCATTTAGCAGAAGATTGCGGGTATCAGCAAAGTTTTTCGCAATGACCAGTATCTCTCCTTGAGATCGGACACATCGAACCTTGCTTCGCAAAGAAGGTTTCAGTTCATGATTATGCTCCAGTACGAGTTTGGAAACCATCCAAATGTCAGCATCTTTCCGAATTATCTCAAATAGTGCATCACAACCTTCTTTTGACGGATCTTGAATCTGTACCCTCTTGTTATCATCACTACCATTATCCCTCCCTGAATGATGGCGATGCTTTGAACAAACAAGTTTCAACATTTTAAGGGATTCATCATGCAATGATCGGCGTGACTGTCGAACACGAGCTTCAAAACCCACACGGCCTGCGTATGCATAATAAAATGTCTTGGCAAGCTCAAGAGATTCAAACTCCATCCCGATATATGGATCCATCACAGCATCTCCCTCTGTGGCAATGTAGTGCACCCTGCTTGGCATCCCAAGTTCATGATTATGCTCCTTCATGAGCTTCGTCACGACCCATCTCTCATCACCTCTTCGAATCACCTCAAGCATCGCCTTACACCCTTCTCTTATGGAAGCAGCCCGTTTCCTCGTCTTCTTGCCAGCAATAATACGCTTCTCTCTGCTGAACCCTTCTCTTGAGCACACAAATCGCAGCATTATGATGGACTCGTTGCATTTCGACCGTCGTGACCTGGCAATGCGAACAGAGAAGCCCACACGTCCAGCATATGCTATATAGAAAGTCTTTGCAGCCTCCCCAGATTCAAACTCCATACCAACAAAGGGTTCTAGTCTTCGATCCGCTTCCACTGCGAAAAGCTCTCTTCGGACTGACTGTTCCACCAGCTCAAGAGACTGCTGTTGCTGCTGCTGTATGTGGTGGTGGTGATGCTGTGGCACAAGAGGATGCTCGGGCTCCCCAACGTGGACATGAGGACTGACACCGAGTGTCGTCCAGAAGTTAATGCTGTCGTCCTCGAGCTCCACATGCTGTTCTATCAATCCATTAACGCCGTGGGGGTTACCATCCATCATCCCAAACTGCAAAAAGATCATAATCAGCTCAAAAACATGAGCAAAACAGTGAGTGGGAAGGTACGACAGCTATCAACTATACATAAATCCACTCCAATCAGCTCGAACCAAACACAATACAAAAGAATTGAAACTCCGTGACCAAAGAAACCATCTTTCCCACGATCTACTACTCGAAACCTGCGAAAGGCAGGAAATTGATCCGGAAAATCCCAACAAGAGAACGCAGAAAGTGATCCAGAAGACGAACGATACGAGAGAAATATCAAAGATCATCAAAAACAGCGAGGAACGGGAAAACTCAGTAAGAGAAAGAAATGAGCGGAAAGATAACGGGAAGGAACCCTAACGAGCAACGAATCGAACGAAACGAGGAAATGGATTCGATAAATCGAAACAGAACAGGTGACTCGGAAGAGGTAAGGCAAGTTTACTTCCAGCTTCGGCCGTAGCTCGGTGCCTTGGCGTCTCTATCGCGCTCCGATCTCCTCACTCTCTCCACCCCGTGGGTGGTGCGACGACGCCCTACTCTCACCGCATCGCATCGCAACCCTAAGAAGCCAAAGCAAAGAAAAAGCGCTCCTTGACCACTCGAGGATCAATACTCACTATCTTCACATTCTTCACGCACGAGATCAGCCACATGTCTCACACCATCTGTGGCCCCCACGTCTCCTTGTGGGTGGGAGCAGCATTTCGGGTTGAAATTTCGGGACGCGAATACGCTCATCCGTTCGCCCAAAGATACTACCACTGTCCGGCCCAGACCGGTCGGGCTTCGTCCGCTAAATTGGATTCGATCCAAACCGTGGGTTTAATTGGCACCCTTTTTAATAAGTCTTTATTTTTATTCACGTTCATCATATAAATAGTTATCAAAGGCTATGATGTATGGATAGCTCTTCCCACAAAAAACACTTCAATATTTGCTATGATGTATGGATATCTCTTACGTAACATACAACTATGAATACGAGCTTGAAAGAATGTGTTCGAAATATTTATATTTAATTTAGCTCGAGGGAAATAATTGGTTTTGATTCACTCACACACTAATAATGTTAAATTATAATTGGAATAATATTTCTCATGATTATACAAAGAAATGGAGGGATGGCTAATACGTATGTATTATGTGGGTATTTTGTGTAAATGATGTAGGTAGATAATTTAAGATATTATAAATATTAGTATAAGTATAATTATTTTAATCAATCATCAACAAACGTTGAGATGGCCGAGTTGGTCTAAGGCGTCAGATTAAGGTTCTGGTCCGAAAGGGCGTGGGTTCAAATCCCACTCTCAACAAAAATATTTTTTGTTTTTTAGAAAAATCACTTTCATATTTTAATCTTTTTCCAAATAAAGTCACTCATAAATTATTCAAAACTTATATATATATATATATATATATATATATATATATATATATATATATACTCCTCCCATATTTTGTATTAACGGAAACGTCGTGAATTGAATTTACCTTTTTAATGATATATAGACTATAAATCATGTCATGTGACTCCTAAGACTAAGCAAATATTTTCTGTTTTTTAGAAAAATCACTTTCATATTTTAATCTTTTTCCAAAATAAAGTCACTCATAAATTATTCAAAACTTATATATATATATATATATATATATATACTCCTCCCATATTTTGTATTAACGGAAACGTCGTGAATTGAATTTACCTTTTTAATGATATATAGACTATAAATCATGTCATGTGACTCCTAAGACTAAGCAAATGACGGGAATAAATTACACAATTTCTATCTACTCAAACAACAGCCAAATGTTTCGACAATGCTTTGAAGTATACACAGGATTGGTCATTTAGGGAAACAGTCAAGCTTAAGTTTATCAAAGGGTATAATAATGACTAATTTTTCTCTATTACATACCTATATTATAACCTGCACTAGACCATAAATATTAAATTCTCCATCGAAAGTTCACAACATTGATCAGGATTATTTGAGGATGTCAAACAACAGCTGCCCAAAAGTTATTTCTGATACATCACAAAGGTATGATACAGGAGAACAGTCCTTCGAAGCAATGTGATTCCAAAGAAAACATGCAGTGGATGGAATGTAGCAATCATCATTAGACCACCAGAAAAGTTATCCTGCAAATTCATTGAAACAAGAAAGTTGAGGGAATTCATAAGTATTAGCTGAAAAGGAATCAGATAAACAAATTGACAGAAGAACAGATCATAAGCCTCACGAGAATCATGATCTGGTCCTGCACTCACTGCCATCGCAGCGAAAGTGTTTCATATCGACAAATAAGCAAGAAAAAAGAATAAATAATATGATATGATTTGCCTCTTTTTGATTGATAAGTGATGAAGCACCAAATATACTAAGGGAAAAGAAATATCATCAGTGCTGATCATAATGAAGCAAATTATAACTCCCAAGTTGCAAATTTGGGGGACCATATGGATAAAGAATCTCTATCCTCGGATTTTATGATGCAAAATATTCTCCACCCAGAAAATGATCACAACCTAACTATGGAATCCAATGAACACTATAAGCAATAGGAAGCAGTAAAAATTTGATAAATTCATTGGTATCCAACTCAATACAAAAGTTGTATTCACATTGCAAGAAAGCTTTCATTTGACTGCAATGGAATGCTAGAAGTTCAAATGAAAGCCATTTACTCTTTAGGAATTACATCTAAGTTATCTCCACACCTAGTGTATAATAAGCCTACGAGGTCATAATCTATCTGTGTACTGCATATGTGTGATGTTTTGTGCTATTCATGCACATAATCCAACCAAATGCCACAGGTTTAGATTAAAATGACAAAAGTAATGATGCAAAAAAGAAAAAAAATAAAAATAAAAAGATGGGAGAAAACAGACACATACCCTGTAATGTTGGGAAAGAATGGAAAATCCCTTTTTTCTTGGACTTCCTTCCAAAGGGCCTGCATGCTTTTATGCTAAGATCTACAGCAGCTGCAAGAGCCATGAAGATAGCTGCATCCTCCACGCATGTCACATGCTGCACTGCAAGTTGAACCAGTGGTTTGCTGCACTGCCCTTCTCCCTGCACCTTACAGTTCATCACAAATCTACCAACCCTGGGGGCCAAAGATGCTGAGCAGAACTCGCCTGTGCTGCCTTGTGGTTTTCCCACAGGAATGCCAACAGGCATCTGCCTATCCATATCTATGTAAAACTCTCCTCCCTTATCAGAGCTTATTGCCACATCAGAAACAAGGATCCCAGCATCCTGGCCTTCGGGAAGAATGTGGAGGCGGAGGCACACGGTATCCCGTGGTCCAGTCTCTCTCCATGCCTCAAGTCGACCCCATGGATGCCAGCTCTCCGAGGAGCTGACGGGGTCAGGACGGAGGATGAGCCAAGCACCTGGATTGGAACGAGCGACCCTGTCACATCCCATGGATGGGACAAATGGAGTTGCCATGAAGGCAGCTGCTACAGCAGAGCCAGAGAGATCATGGATCATAACCTTCCAGCCTTTCCTTTCCCTCCTTTCAGCATCATGGTTTTCAGTGTTTGAGTTTGTCCAGTGGCCACTAATCATATCCAGTGGAGATGTTCTGTTGTTGAAAGGAAATAATTAACAAAACCAACCTGAGTAATTAGTAAAAATGAATGAAGAATGTCTAAAGCTGCTTCTAATCATAGACAACTGATGGTGGTTTAAAATGAATGGACATGAAAGCAGATGGCATGCTTCAAATATGCAAGCATCAGAAAAACATATATGATGTCAATTACTATTTGGTTGGCATCGACAAATAAGCAGAAATGTGCACTACAACCACTTCCGAGTGAAATTATGTAAGATATTACTAAATTGTATCACACTAGCTGATTCTCCAACAAGCAAAGAAGGTACTCAATTCAAAGTTTACTACTAAACAGAAAGGAATATATTTTCATTGCATTAATATTTAATCATGAATGTGTTTCCAACAAGGAAGCTAGAACATAACAATAATCAAATGAGAAACTTGCACCCGAAGACACTCCAACACAAAGAAATGCAAAGATAGGGAGAGAAGGCTTGGGTTTTCGTAAAGAAAACATCATATATCTACAAGCAACCAGAGCAAAATAAGTTTACTTACCACAGGTATTTTGGACACCAATGCATTCTTAAAGTACCTAGAATCCTGTTCTGATAAGAAGTAATACGATTGAACATATTTTTATAGGATAAGAAAATTTTGCTAATTATCAGAAGAAAACCTAATGATTAAAGTTTTAGAGCATAAGTTAAGGCCACTGAAATCTGAAAACAAAAATACAAAATTACACGTACAAGTAGCAATGTGTACTATTATAACACCACTTAGTGAAGAAAAAGCCAAAAATAACAAAAAAGAGATTGTTATACCGTCTGTCTTGGATGAACTTGCAGCTGAATATGGGTTGCTTAATGGTACCCTGTAGCTGAACTATTTGTGGACTCAAGGTAGTTTCATCTTCAAATTTAAAAACATATCTTAGGTCAGGGTCAAGCTTCACCTTTAAATGAAGCTCTGGTCCATGTTTCTCTGCTTCTCGTTTGTTCTGCCCAATATGCATCCAACCATTGTGAAGCAATGCTGGTTTCTCCAAACCCCACTCAGGACCTATTTCTAACCTGAGACTCCCAATTTGCTGCTTTCTACCTGTGACACCACAATGTGAACTCTGCCTCCCCATGTACACCACAATATCAAGATACGCTTGAGAAGTCCTGAAACATCGTGGAAGTGCAAGTGCTTTGACATCAGACTCTTCAAGATAGAAGAGTATAACATTGCTGTCAGGATCTGGACTGGCTTCAGGGGATGATATCAAAGGCACAGGTGCTGTTTGAATGGGAAAACCCCTCAGGCGGATCTCACAGAAGCATTTAGAATATGCATGTACTGCGCCTCGCCTAGCCTTTAAAGCATCCACTGAAAATCTAAGTCCCAGGGATCCAATTGACAATCGGACAAAAGTTTGTGGATCCATTGTTCTTTGAAGTATTACTTCCCCATGTCTTCCAGAAGTGGTTATCTGATCAGCATCTGTTTATAGAGGCACAAGTATTAGATTTAAGAAACTGAACTGCAGTGCCCTAATTACGTCAGATAGTGAGCAACTCAAGTCAGAACCTCTGGAACTTCATTCATTGAAGATTTAAGAAGTTTGTGAGCATTTTCAACGAAAAAGAATAAAGTTGGTATTAATTGCCCATTTTCAACTAAATGGAGGATATAAGAAAATATTAATTGCCCATAGTTAGTTTTATCTAAGATGCGTAACGACTAAAGTTGTAATTCCTGCCAGGTATCCGAGCTCTTTTTCCATGGTCAGAAGTTGCTAAAACTAAATGATCAAGGTATATCAAAGGTTACTTCAAGGACAAAACAAGGTAATGGTTTCCATCGATTAAAGAGAACCTTGCTCAAAATTCTTTCCTCTATGGACATATACATACACACAAGTAGAGTCTTTCAGGTTTGAACATATCTGCTACAGCTTGTGCTTTCAGTTCACCGTATTAAGTTACAAGTAGTTCCGGATCGATCCAATCTCCACCTAGCAACACCCTTTATATGGGCACGAGCACAATAATCTATTCTAAAACTGTCGAGATGGACCACAAGAGGAAATAAATTTATAGATGTTAAGGAAGATCTAAAGCCAAAAAGGTTGCATACTCAGCAAGGTTGCAGATCAATTGTGACTAATGGTGGTACCTCAAAAAGGAAAAAAGCTAACTGGCTTACAGAAGGCAAACATGGCATTTTCTTTGGCAAACAGTAAAGCTATCATGGCCCTTTAACAAATATTTTCGAAGAGAAAACCAATAGCCCTCCACCAGGACAAAGAAGATACTAATCTTTGCACAGCCTGGGTGCAAGAACCCCAGGGTAGGGATCCTCCCTTATGTCCAAACTTCCAATTGACCTCCTTATCAAACCTACACCATAACATAAAAAGGGCTGTAGCAAAACCTATCCCTGGATGATGTTCATTGCAGATCACGATGCCAAGGCTCATTTCTGAGCGCGGGCAACACACCAGTTGGCTAGTCTGGCTAGCAGCTATTCTGTGTGCTATCCTAGCAATAGTTGTTATTATCACGGGTATCGTCGTGCTCGCCATCTACCTGATCTACCAGCCTAGGATGCCATGCCATCTTCTCCGACCAGAGCTTCATTCTCCAGTTCCATGGGATTGATGTTGCTGAGCTGCGTGCTAATCCATTGGATGTTGCCAAAAACAGCTTATTCGATCTCAATTATCTCTTCCAGTCATCACCGATCCCACTGGACGAGGTGGCAATGGAGACCATGGACATGGCACTGAAAAAGGGTGTCATACCATTCGACCTCAACGGACAAGCAAGAACCCGGTGGAGGGTGGGGATATTTCTCTCCCTCACGTTCTGGACACACCTCTCATGCCAGCTCCATTTCTTCTGGCCAAACGGGAGCACCATCAACTTGGACTGCAGTTCCAAATCCCACTGATGTCTATTCAAATACATGGTGAAGTAGTTCTTTCTGTTCCTCCCTCAACATCCAGATTACATCTCCCTTAGATATCTGAAATTGTATGCTAATTAGAAGCATCTGCGTCTTGGTTGTGGATAGGTCCTTTCACTAGAATAGAGATACATATACGGTGTAGATTATACTTGTGGAGATTGGAAGTTGAAGTAGTGAGAGGAAGCGTACCTTATCGTCTTCCCGAAATGAGCTCCCTCTGCTTCCTCCAAAGCGGCTCAAGAACTCGAACCTCTTTCCAAGGGCAAGAATACTGATAAAAAACGGTGCTTTTGGAGCCTACAGGACTGAAGAGAACTCCATTTTCGCTTCTTTACTTCATTTATCAGATCGTCTTCCAAGCAGTAAAAGCAAGCATTTTGGAACGCATAAATCTTCGTTTTGAGGCCCGGGAGGCGCGGTGGTGCCGAGCAGAAAAGGGTTTTTTCTTCACCGTTTCTTTCTTTCTCTTTATCTATCTGCCTTCCGTCCCCGAAGAGGACTCCAATTCCTGAGTCCAAAAAAACACTGCCAAAGATTATCTAGAGATAATAGCTTCCCAAGCTCGAACCCCCCCTCGCTTTTCTTCCGCAAATGCCACCAAACAGCTCACAGCTCCAAAAAGGAAGAAAAAGGAGTAAATCCAGGAGGGAGGAAATCAAAAACACCAAAGTACACCCTTTTCTTAGCCGAAAAGCCCAAGCAAAACACGTTCCTTACGGCCGGACCGTCAACCCAGCAGAAAACGCAAGAATTATCGCACTTTTCTCCCAAAAGCACAGACCTTTTTCCCCCTCCAGAACAAGCGTTTTCTACTCGATCAACCCAGAAACACCGAAAGGGAGGAAGAAAGATCAAATCTTTCCACTCCCTCGAGCTCTTCTTCCAGCAAGAAAGCCCCCAACAACCTCTCGATCCGGCGGATGACAATAAGTGAACGCGGGAGGGACCAAAGAGGGAGATCGGAAAGCTCGGAGGAGGAAACAGAAAATATATACCGCACGAATTAATGAGAGGATATAAATGATACTAGCGTGCAGACTTGGGTGACGAAGCAATTTGACGGTGAATTGGAGACAGCTGTTCTCGACCATCATCCAATCGCCATCAGACAGAGAGATTGAGGACGAGTGCTTTTGCACATAATCTATTCGACCTCGGCTCCCTTTCAACCGCCCGCCCGACTTCGTGACTTTGGACAACGCCGAACTCGTCGCGTCATACTAATCCGATTAAGGCGAAAGAGTAAATGCGAATCTGTTCATGTCTTGCGATCCAATGGGCGCTCTCCGAGCAACATAGATCGCAGACCGGCTCGCGTTGGATCGGTTGCCTTCGCGTTGCTTGTTGTCAAAGCTCGATCTGATCTCACACGATTAGATCGAGACGATTGGTGACGTATCGCCACGGAAGACGGAGAAGATGACATGGACTTGACGTGACAGTTGCATGTGCAGTGATTGAATCGGGCAACCGCACATGATTATTTTGACCCGAAATGTTGACCACCAATTGATTTGCTGCGAATCAATTTGATTCGTTTATACATATTTCACATTATTTGATACGAATCTTAAATCAATTCTTTATCTTTGTTGCTCATCATGTCAAATGATAGGCATGTCAGCGTAGATTACTGACATTTAGACATATTAATCGATTTAATTATGTAATGGAGGAAAAAAATACTCTCGAAAGAGGGAATTCTAACAGTAAACATGTTGTCCTAATTGCGATCACTACCCCCACACCGATGGGGCGCACGGGGCTCGAGGCGATCTGGGTCAGCAAGTGTCCACGTGGTCTGCTCGGGCTCGTGACGTGCGGCGACCGCTGGGTCCCGCCTCGCACATGCGGAGCCACTTCGCGTTTCCCGTTGCAGGCCATTAACTATATGATTATTATTATTGTAAGATTAATGAAAAGTAGTAACTTAAAATTAAAGGATTAATACATATGTAATTGTCGCTCTGAGGCTCGCAAACCTCGTGAGTTACCCGCCTCACCGATTATGAGGATGCAATGGTGGACCCCACGCGAGGCAAGTGCACGTTGCCCATGTTACCCTGGTGGGCCCCTTGGATTCCATGGCGGACCTGCGGCTGGGGTCAACATCTCGACCGTGGCATCGCCGCCTGTTCCCTTCGGCAAGAAACCCCCACCGCCCCCAGCCACAGCGTTCATCCGCCATTAATGTCCTCCTCGTTTTAGTTTGGGAAAGGACGTCTTCCCCGATCAACAAGCAGTCGCCGCTCAGGCGAGGACGAGTGGGTGCAGCAATGATGAGGGGGGGTGACGGGGCGGCACATGCAGTCTTCAACACAGTGGTAGATGGGGGACAGGTGGGGTTGGAGCTTCGCTTACATGCTGTGTGGTCGTTGGTCGAGCCTTTTCTTCTCCTTTTGGGAAAGTTGGATAGCTTTCCCAGTGTAGTGTGACACAACAATGAATGCCCTGTTGGAATTACCCGAGCAAGCAGGCAAGGAGAGCATCTTTCCTGTGTTCTGATAACACCCATTCAATGTACATGTTGGAGCATGCATGACGTCCCCTGAGAAAGTTCAGCCTCTCGCTAGGGTTTGTAGTATTTACGATGGCTGTATGTTGACGCACACTGGAGTGGAGCTGCGTGGAAGATGGATCACGAGGCAGATGTCTGTGTGCGTGCGTGACATTTCGGCCAGGAGGTTGATGAGTCATGTCAACAAAGAAGAAAAAGAAGAGGAAGAGTACACTGTACATGCACGCTTGCTGGCTGCACATGAGCATGTCTTCCATGTTCTTCCAAGACCCTATCTCTTACTACAGAGCTTGTACTCGTGACCGATGGCTTCTCCCATTTCCCATTTGAATACCATCTTTTTTCGACTCTACAGGTGAAAGAATTAGCTGTAATTACTTCCTGTTAATTTCTCTGCAGAAGTATCACTGCATACCATTCTCTTCGATCACATACTGCGATCTCTTTGTTTGCCGAAGAGCACTTCTTCCTACAAGCACAGCATATTCGACTCCTTCTCTTATGTTTCTTTCATTTAGGGTACAGTTTTCAGCCTGATATATATCATTCCAAATGGACACTAAATATTCCACATGTCATGAAGATATGGTACAAGAGGTACAATAATTACCGGAGACCTCACTGAATTTGAAATGGACGAGAGGAACTCTTTAGGCCACAAATGGACCATAAAAAGATCAGAATGTCTTAACCGGCGGTACTTATTAACACTGACAATGATAGTTTACATCAAGTGATGCACATTCTTAGGGAAAGATGCGATCAATCCAACTTAGTTTGGACTTGTGTGAGTAAGAAATCTACTATAAAAAAACGTCTATCACGTCAACATATAAGAAGATCATGATCGGATAAGATATATGATATCATTCATCTCACACTCAAGTTAATAAAGGAGTTGAGTAAGGGTGATCTGGGTAAGCAGCTTATGATCTTGATTACTGTAGGCAAATGAATTTTTATAATCGATCAAATTAGGAAAATATTTCATTATATTGTAAAAATATTCTTCAAATATTTTATATTCGACAAAATATTGATATGACTAGGTTATTGACCAAACGCTCTCATGTTTATCATATTTGTTATTTATCGAGTCTTGATTTAGCTAAACATTTCTCGAGTGATGTTTTACTTTTCATATTGTCACATATCAAGTCTTAATACTAAGTCTTGATTCGAGATAAACATTTCTCTTACCTCTTTATAAATGCATTCTACGGAAATAGATGTTATTATAAGTATAACATGATAGAACATTTAATCAAACAATACGCTACTTTTATATCGAGTGTTGCTTTACTTGCAAATGAGACTCTTAGAATCATTGATAAGCATATCTGATACTTAGCTTGAGGAAATGATCACAAACCAAAGCAAAGCATGCAAAGATGGCCTCAATTTATTAATTGTTTTAATTGTATAGATGAAGAATGAATGACTACATATCTTGCGTGAGGATAGATTGCATGTAGTATTCCTGAAAGATATATTATTTTTTCATGGTGATGTATAAGTGGTCATCCCATAGAACTGATATATTGACTTATATTCTTAAAATGAGGGGTGCTAAATGGTTCATAAGATCTTAAATTTTAGATAATACACAATCTATTGAATTATTATATTATTATTATTATTTTACAAATATAGCATGGATAAGTTTTGAACATAAGACATCATATCATCTTATATTTTTTATAAATATCATTTTATTCAAAAACATAAGTCATGAATGAGATATGATGTATTGATTTTTATTCTAAATATAGTGAAAGCATAAGTTCCATTAATTGTGAAATTACTTTGAAAGGGTGAGCTATAAATATTGAAATTAGATGTGAAACTATTTGTTAACAAAAATGTTTTGATATCAAACTAAAAACATAATAAAATTTATGCCATTTGAAAGTCTTGTGGATGTCATATGTATTTTTAAAGTAAAATTGGAAGAAACAAACTGTGACTAGAGAAAGTAGATGGTGGTACAAAATTATCTACTATGAAACAAATGATTCAAGGATCAATTTAACATAAAAAATAGTTTTAACACCTATATGAAATAGGATCCAATGTTGAAATTTGATGAAGTTATACAGTGGAAGGAAGATGGAAAATACAAGTACAACAAGTAAAATGCTATTAGATGTAGTCCAATCACCCACAACATCAACATATATGAACTCCTTTTCTAAGAAAGTTGAGATGCATCATCATTCCTAATAAATTTCATGGTGATAGAGCCCATCATAACTCAATGAATGTTCTTGGCACACATCAAATATTGCACCCTTCATCTCTTTAGAAACATCCCATTATTAAGTACTTAGCCGGATTTGGCTCATTACTACTCCTAATCTACCAATAACCTACTCATAATTCGGATTTAAAATGATCTAAGGTTAGTCCAAAGTGACTGTCCGTATCAATTGTGTGGAAAAACCTATAAAAAATAAAAAATAATCTGAAAGTATATTTTTATCAACCTAATTAATAGTTTTGTCTATCTGATTTAATTCATTCCATAATGATATCATCATGGTTGATTTAATATGACTAAGTTGTGGGCACGCTCGGTCATAGGGAAGTTGATGTAGATGTATGAACACATGAAAACTTCATGAGAGCGTAAAAAAAAGGAATGAGAAATATTTTATGAAAAAAAATATATGATTCGAAATTCTAGAATTTTTTTAGACCTATTTCCAATTAAATAAATACAAACCTTAAACCTTTAATGCCTTATTATCAACCAAAATATATATTTCCAATAGAAATTTAAAGTTTTCTAAAGAAAGAAGACACTGCCAATCCTTTGTATGAATATTAATAGAATAAAAAACAATTTTTAAAAACAATAATGACGTGTCTCGGCAATACAATTATTCGCGGTCGGTCCTTCGAATCGACTTTATATATTATTGGTTTTGTATTGGTTGTTACTTTTTCCTCTTCGTATCCCAACCTCTTTATTTCGCTTCTTCCCCCGCGAATTCGACGAAACCTTGGATCTATCGATCGCTGTTCTTCCTTAATTTCTTCCTTCGCGAGTCCCCACTGCCTCGGATCGACAGGATCGACCACGGATTTCTAGGGTTACGGTTCGGGTTTGGGATTTGTTCCTTGCTCCCCCTCTTTCTATCTGCTAGGAATCGAGGGGGAGAGGATGAGCTTCCAGGATCTGGAGTCGGGGTGGCCGGTCACCGGCCGGAGGGATCTGACCAACGGGCGACAAGATTCGACGCAGGCCGTCGCTGCCGGGCTGTTCCAGATCACCACGGCCGTCCGTAACTTCGAGCGCCTCGTCAACACGATCGGCACCCCCAAGGACACCCCCGAGCTCCGCCAGAAGTTGTGAGGGTTTCTTTCCTCGTGGAAAATCTCCGTTTTTATTCTTGGGTTCCGATTGGTCTATCTTAATCTTAATTAATTGATGTTTGTTGCTCTGAATTGGTGGTCGCAAGTGCTTTAGTTTGAATTCCATTCAGAAGATGGGATTTTCACTCTATTGACGATGGGTTTTTGTGGTTTTGCCTTTGAGATGGACATGTCTCTTAAGCAGCATATTGCTAGACCATCTCCGTGTATGTGAAAGTTGTTTCCTGCATCCATAAGCTGACGC